TATAGTATACCGTATATAATATAAAGAGTATATAGTATATAATATAGGGTATATAGTATATAGTATGTAGCACATATTATAAGCCCCCGCCCCGCGGTGGGCCCGCCGATGCTTGGCGGGTTTAGGGGTGTTGGCAGTTTGCGCTGATCTTAACAGTTAAAGGTATTTCTTCAGATCTTTCTGGTACCCACCCGCTCCAGTGAAACACACTATACAGTATATAGTATTATAGTATATAGTATATAGTATATAGTATATAGTATATAGTATATAGTATATACTATATAGTATATAGTATACAGTGGGTATGGGGTAGGGCAGGGGTGGGTGGTGTGGGGTAGGGTAGGTTGGTAGGGGTGGTAGGGTGGGGTAGGGTAGGGTAGGGAGGGTAGGGTAGGGTAGGGTAGGGTGCGGTGGGGTAGGAGTGTTTTCCTTAGTAGAACCAGAATAAACATTGTATCCTTGATAATCCCAAAAGTTTGGTTAGAGCAGAAGTAACGGGCATGTCAGTCCGCGAATCTTGTTGCTTCCCGGCCTCCGGTGTGCTCAAAAATACATAATGCAAGCCCTATAACAAATAGTATATAGTATATGGTACATCGTATGTAGTATATAGTATATAGTACATAGTATGTAGTATATAGTAGATAGTAAGTATATAGTATATAATATGAATAGTATATAGTATATAACATATGGTATATAGTATATAGTATACAGTATAAAGTGTATATTATAAGACCCCGCCCCGCGGTGGGCCCGCCGATGCTTGGCGGGTTTAAGGGTGTTGGCGGTTTGCGCTGATCTTAACAGTTAAAGGTATTTCTTCAGATCTTTCTGGTACCCACCCGCTCCACTGAAACACAGTATATAGTATATAGTATATAGTATACAGTGGGTGTGGGGTAGGGCAAGGGTGGGTGGGGTGGGGTAGGGTAGGGTAGGTTGGTAGGGGTGGTAGGGTGGAGTAGGCTGGGGTATCAAACAGTTGGTTCTGTCGGCAACTCCAGCCCTTCGCCTCAAAACCTTGAAAACTTAGGGCGTAAAATCCCTTCCGGAACCTCTGAACCGCAGCTGCTCTGCCACGAGCTCTAGGCGCAGATGATCAAACTTCCACTCCGGCAGAGACTCGAAGATCCGCTCCTCCAAGAAAGCCTGAGCCCCATCTGAACCCGGAACAACCTACCTTTTTGATGACTTGTTCACGGAAATCATAATAAGGAGCCCCACAACGTAATGTGTAGGCATGGCCCTGCTGGTTTTTGTTTTATGTCGTTTGATGTTCGTCCGCTGTTGTGCTGTGCTTTGTCTTTAAGCAGGCACATGTTGAAATTGCTGTGTGTGTTTGCGCTTGCTGGGTTCAGGGTCAGGGAGCAAGATTGAGAAGGGAAGTGATGCTGCTGTGTTTTAGTACATAGTATGTAGCATATAATATATAGAATCTAGTACATCGTATGTAGTATATAGTATATAGTATATAGTATATAGTATATAGTATATTTTATATAGTATATAGTATATAGTATATAGTATATAGTATATCGTATATCGCATATCGTATATAGTGAAATAGTATATAGTATATCGTATATAGTATATCGTACATAGTATATAGTAGATAGTTTATAGTATACAGTAGATAGTAGATAGTATATAGTATATAGTATATAGTATATAGTATATAGTTCATAGTTCATAGTTCATAGTATATAGTATATAGTATATAATATATAGTATATAGTATATAGTATATAGTATATCGTATATCGCATATCGTATATCGTAAAAAATATAAAGAGTATACAGTATATAAGAAAGGGAAAAGTATATAGTATGGAGCACATATTATAAGACCCCGCCCCGCGGTGGGCCCGCCGATGCTTGACGGGTTTAGGGGTGTTGGCGGTTTGCGCTGATCTTAACAGTTAAAGGTATTTCTTCAGATCTTTCTGGCACCCACCCGCTCCACTGAAACACACTATATAGTAGAAGTACTATAGTATGTAGTATGTAGTATATAGTATACCTGAAGATCCTAGCGGCTGGATTTTTCCAGCCTTTCGGAAAATTCTGGATTTCCATGATAAAAGGGCGTATTTTGGTTTATTAAATGTTTTTCGGGGGCAGCTAGAGCGGACACATTTTAGGTGAAGCTGGTTGGGGACTATAGTACTTGAGGTTCTGAGTCGTATTAAGAAGGCTCCAGTACACATTCCATTCGAAATTATCAGATCCTACATGTGTAGAACGACACATCTTTATCATGCTGTCTGTGTGTGTGTGTGCACAATATGAGCCTACTTGTTTTGGCCCTTTCTCACCAAGTACGTATGCATGCATGCATGCATAAATATGTTTATATACTAGCCTAAACCCCACCCTTCGGAACCCGGCCGACCTTAAAACCTGTGACCAGGCCGCTGCCTCTCGCTCGCCGTGGCTCGCGGCAGGGCTTCTTTAGGGTTTACATGTGTATATAAATATGTCTGCAATGTAGCCTATGTTGTTCGGGTTTTGGGGCTAGGCTTTTATACAGGTGTTTATCAAGTAGGGGGTATCCTGGCTTAGAAGTTTTATGCATCGCCGTAGGGGTTTAAAACTTAATTTACTATGAAGAAATCGCCCGGTCTGGGAGCGGGACACTGCAAGACAAGAATATGTCACATGTGCAGCAAACAACAATGCAATGCTACTGGCAGCAATGGCGTTCCTGTGCCTGTGGCCATGGTGGCCCGGAAAAGGTGCGCCCACCCTCGCCCTGCTCATGATGCCAGGGTTCTGCCTTCAGCTTCATTGGTCGTCAGTGTTGCAGGTATTCTTACTTTCGATCGGTTGTGCGATTTCTACTTCAGTTTTTCAAGATCAAACAAGCGCCATGGCGCTGGATATCGAAGCAGTCGTTTTGACTGGCTTGGGCTCCGCTTGGTTTTGCAATCACGAGATTCGGGACCGAATGTCGATGGAGGCACCCACTGCCTTGGTGACACCGGCTTCGGGAGATAGGACTGTGGCGGTGAGTCAAGAAACAGCTGTTATGAATGACATGTTCCTCATTCCCATCATCATCCAGATGAAAGCAGCTAAATCTTTGAAGATCCCGAGCATGGAAATGATCGCTTCGGAGTTAGAGGCCATATGGTTGAAGTTGTACGAAGCTTCTCACAAAAGGGCGGTAAAAGGACGCTTTCCGAAAATGCCGGCCGACTTTGTGGTGCCCGAGCATGTGCAATCGCTTTGCATCTCTGATGCCAAGAACCTTAAGAGTCTTCTGTCAATGGTGAAAAAACAGTTCCAGTCTGAGAGGGTTGCTCGCGAACCTCAGCTAAATAGAAAGACTTGCGTTTTTGTTGGTTCCCTCCCTACTTGCTCTAGCTAAGGGCTGATCCATCTGACCTTTCTCATATCTCAGGATGCAGACTATCGTCGGGTGGTCGCCGCTTTCGGCGACAAGGCGGGATTTTGTGGGTCAAGTTGGATTTTGAGGATTTGGTGCATTCGAGGATTGCTTGACTCCTTCCCAGGCTGGCTATCCCGAGTTGGTGAATGCAAGCGACCACCATGCTGAGAATGAGCCTGAGGAAAGCCGCCCCAAGCCGCCCACCCACACCGCTGCCAAGACACTCCCCAAGCGCAAAACCCATCACTTCGAAGCAGATGATGATGAAGATGACTGTGTAATCACGGGTGGCCCCTCCGATACTACTTTGGCAAAGATCGGAAAACGTGCCCAGCTGTCAGCCGACATCGAGCGGTTGAAGCTCATGATGCTTGTCCACCACTTCTTGCAATATTTCGAATATCCTGAGCATCCATCTGATATCCCAGGATTGCGGAGAGACACGCTCGACAGCGGGCGGAGAAGGTCGCTGCCCGCGACACCATTGATAGAGGCTCGTCCCAAATACGCACACCCATCACACTCAGTAAAAATACGTAGAGGGACTTAGTAAAATTTGAAAGGGCAACAGTTATGTGTATGTGTATATATATATATATATATATTTGTTTATATTGGGTGGTATATGAATCAGCCATACATACCCAAAGGCAGGCATGCATACATGCATGATCTATATACACCTAAATACACCTTTACATGTGTATGTACATACATGTCTATGTAAATATGAACATACGGACGGACATACTTACATACTTAATTACATACATACATAATCATACATACATACATACATACATACATACATACATACATACATACATACATACATAAGAAGCATGGCCGAGATAATATCTGTAACCCTATATGTCACACCAAACCCGAAATATAAACTATCCCTACAGGCTCTGACATAGACCAGGAGGACACACAGGTCACCGGCGATGATGAGCCAGCTCCTGCTTTCGGGCTTTAGAAGGGTCGTGGGGGATTGGATGTTGATCTACCTGCTGATTTTGTTTATTAAGGTTGTCTTACGAGCGGAGCAGTTGGCCCTGAACCAGACGAGAAAGGAGGCTGCCCAAGCGAAGGGCAAGGCTCGCAAAAAAGATGCTGGACCGGAGGCGGGGGCCCAGCAGGAAGAGGAAGAGGAAAATGAGGCCCCCAAGGAGAAACCGCGAGGACGGGGCCGGGGCCGGGGCAGAGGCAGAGGGGGGAGAATGAAAAGGCCAGCAGCAGCAGCAGCAGCCCTGAGGACCCCGCCCGAACATGAGGAGGCCGCTGAGGATGAGGATGAGCCCGCAACCCCAAAGCGCAACCCAGGCCTTAAGATCACAGTCAGAATGACCCCTCGGCCGAAAAAGACGGCCACCCCGGAGAAGAAAGCCACCCCGAAGAACCCCAAGAAGAAAGCGACCCCGAAGAAGAAGAAAAACAAGCCTCCAGGAACCCGGACTGAGGAGCGGGGAGTATTGAGCAATGTTTTCCTTGTGTCTCTTGGCTCGCTTGTGGCTTGTTGTGCTACCTGCTATAGGAGGAGTTGGAGATCAAAGCGTTCGTTCACGAGTACAACCGTTCGGAGAGATCCCGGCACAAGCTAATGGCATATTGGACTAGGCCTGCATTCGGATTGCTGGATTCAGGTGGAACCCAAGCAGCTGGGCACATACTGTTATGGCTGATTGCCTGCTTTCTTGTTGAGTTACCAAGTTTAGTCAATCCTAACCAAAATAATAGTTGGCTAAGGCTGCCTACATCGGTGGAGCGAAACTTGATATGCAGTCCATGTGGATTCCCATGAAGCAGCTTGTGCCTTTGTCAAAAAACCCAGGCCTCTGGGATCCTCTGTTGCCTTCGACGATTCTGTTATTTGGGTTACCGTTAGGGTTCAGGGGTAGCTAAGGCCCTGGATCTTCACGTCTTGGATGAAGAGGAAGCGCTGGAGAAATTCGAAGCTTGCAAGCAGCGTCTTTTGGATGCTGCCCGGACATAAAGCCGAAATCTGGACACCCTCACTCCTATGTGCAATTAATTGTCGTTATCCATATGGGCTTTAAAAGAATTACAAAGCACTTAAGAGGTTACTTGAGTTTCGGGAGTGAGGCTGCTTGCCGCTGAATCTGTTCATCAGAAGCTTGAGCGCCCTCTGAGCCTGGCGGTCCTCAAAAAGGTTGCTCGCTGCGAGATCGTCGCCACCTGCAAAGCACGTGGCCCCACCCATGCCAAGCCCTTTCAAGTGTTTAGAGCCCGCATGGGCTATTTGTGATTTAAAGCAATCGGGGTTCATGGTTTCGAAAAGGAATATATTGTTATAACAAGTAGCACGATTCGGCGGCTTGAAGCAGAAGCGCATTCAACTGGAGGACGAGTTTGATCGATATATGTTCGAAATGTATATAATTATCAAACCCTATGAAGCCCTTTGTAGCCCTTTGTATCGCATTAAGCGAAGAATTCACCACAAATCTAATAATGCAAGTAGTTATGGGGACTGTTGACCACATAGTCTCCCTACGCAGGTCAGTCAGTCTTCAACGTGCTGTTCGACAGCAGCAAGGCATCATCCGCAAGCAGAAGATCAAGGAGATTCGAGGCCGGCTAGCCTTGTTTGGGGCATGCTTGATCAAAGTTAGAAGATGGAGCTGTCTGAGATGTTCTACAGTTGGCACCTGTACTCTTGCCACCCGCAGTGTTTTTGGAAGCTGTGCAACCTATCTCCGGGCCCCGCCTATTAGTCATGTGTAGCTTAAAATTTCAATAGTTATCGGGCCCTCGATCTATATAGTTTCTTATTGTCCTCTGGGGTACCATGAAACCGTGGACTTCGGAATCCATGGCCTCGCTCGTCGCCCGGCTTCGGGTGCTTGATGCCCCCAATGCCTCAAGCCAGCAGGAAGATCGATTGTAGTTTGGGTTTGGGCCAATTGGATATGTTTGCACAGGGTTGGGAATGATTGCTTCGAGGTCTTCATACTATGTATACTGCTGCTCTTTTGGTCGCAGAATGTTGGGCCTCACTTGGACCGCGACTCTCGGCTAGTCTGCTGCATGTCAAACTGCTGTGCTGTCGTCTGTCGTTTTCTAAGTTCGTGGTACAAGTAAGGTTTTCCAATGGGTGGAGTTATTCAGTGGATCTGGTATGGCAACTGCATGCATGACATCCTCGGGGTTGCTGGGCTGCCCTCTGGATATCCTACATTATGCTGGACCCCCGGATAAACAGAACTACTTGGATCTACTGACTCCGGCTGGAATGGGGCACCACGGTTGCAACCAATACTTGTCCGTGCATGATGACAGTGAGAAGATCACACCACGAACTCCAAACACAAACCATCCCAGGCTTGCTACGATCACGATGCTCCAGTGTGTGGAAGATGATTGTATCGCTTGGTTCGGTGTGAAGTGCAGTAGCAGCAGCACTGTGAACATGGGCACCAGCAGGCGATCTTTCTTATTGCCGATGGGTGACGTGTCCAAACGAAGCGTCATGGAATCCAACTGCTTGGTGGCTAGGCGGGGTAATTTCAGTGCTGTTTGTGACTAGTGTATTACCCTACTCGCTCAAACATCCTTGCACGTGTATCCATCTGGGCAGGAGTGTGCTACTCATGCTCCTCTGTGTTAGCATCGGCGGAGTGTTCGTCCTGGAGCAACCGCGAACATCATGGATGCTGCATCACCCCCGGGTTCGTTGGCTCTGCCGCCAGATCAGTGTCACTTCCTATGTATGATCGGAGTCATCGTATAGATGTTGCAGATGAAGTTGCATACTTGTTATTTATGTAAGAACTTCGAAATGCTAAGGTTTTCCGGACGAATTTCTGGATGGCACATTTCGACTCACCGACGGCAAAGCCGTCGACAGTTATATCCAACTCCTCAGCTATCGCAGCCTTCGATAAGGGTCGCTTATTCTCTTGGCAACGAGTTCGTCGAAGCTTGCAGGGGAAGACTACCAAACGGTATCGTGGTGCCGACGGGAGACGTAGATATTGTGGCACGAAGCAACTCAAAGGAACCGAGCCCGGGTCTTATGTGCTGAGACAACACCATTCCCGTCAAGTCCCCGTGTCCCCAAAACCTATATTACCCTACAACCCAATCAAACTCCCTTGCTCAGGCGATATCCTCTACGCTTTGGGATGAAGATCGTGACCCTGAAGCACAGGTTCAAGGCCCAGGCAAGCGGCAAACCCGAGCCCCGCAGACTGCTGGGCCTTCGCGAGCAGCTGATGGATATGAAGTGCCACGAGGGCTTGGGTGACATTTGGGAAGAAGCTTCCATGGGTGAGGTTTTGGTGTATCTCCGGGGCAATACAAATTTGATGCTTCCGGATTGGGTTCGTCCCTTGTTGCCCTCCACGGTCTGATGTGTGGACAGAATGGCTGCTTTGTAGTGCTAGCTACAAAGTGCACGGCTGCAGTAATTCGTACATGCAACTGGAAGAATCGTCCTTGCCTTAAGCCTTATATGCAGCTGGCATTACATGATCCTAGTGTTGAAGAAGGTGCCTGGATGATTCTTACTAGTGATTGCTAGTGCTCTGCAAGATTGCACAATTGCTGGCATGGCATAGCTGCTATGGCAAGCACCGGCTGTGATCTCAAGTGACAAAGAGTGATGTGAGTGCAAACCCATTGAACCCCTTCTTGTTCCTGGTCCCCGCCACAAAGTGAGATGGTATTAGTGTGTTTTAATCTGTCGGGTTTCATTCTCTGATGCTCGTTCAACCCTACTAGGACCCCAGTCAGCATTCCCAGGGCGATAATAATCTCTGACCATAGTTGCGGGATTCCCGCAAAACCTAAAAACAAGGCCCACAGGAGCGCGGGGACGGGACGCGGGACGGGCCGCGGGGACGGGCCGCGGGGACGGGCCGCGGGAACGGCCCGCGGGGATACCTGGAATCCAGGCTTCTGGTTCGGACTGCGGGAACAACTTTATAATTCTCATTGGGGTTTGGCCGCGGTTTTGGTGAAACTATTCCGCGGTTTTTATATCCCTAAGGAAACCAGATGTACCCCAAAAAATAGTTCCTGGAAACCGCACTAGATAGGGACCCTGAATGTTGATAAAAATGTTGATATTTATTGGGATTTATCGTGATTCCCAAAAACCGAAAAGCAAACAGAAACCAATCAAAACCCAAAAAAACGCAATAAAAAAGCAAAAAAACCCAATATGGAATCCCAATAAAAACGCAATCAAAAAGCAAACGCGGACACATTTTTTCCGCGGGACACCGCGGAGCTTTTAAGGGAGATCGTGGTTGTGACTTAGGGACTCCATGGGCTCATTTGGGGTGGCCTGGCACTAGTCAAAGTTACCCTTATCTCTGACTATGTACAATTGCATACTTCTCTCGAGGCTGCTGTTAGGAAACCTGTATATATTCCTAGGACTCCAGCAAATGGGGAAGTCTCAGCCGAAGCAACTTCACTCCAGGCAGTGGAGTTGCAGCGAGCTGGGTGTAGGGATGGCACATCTTGTGAAGTGCAAGTCTGAGTTGCCGGACGAGACCCTACAGAACCAACTGAAGGACCCAAGAAGATTTCGACCCGTACAATGCTGTTGTAAGTGATACAGACTTATACTAAATCACAACAATATAAATAAACCAAGACCCCTCTTAAACTTTCCTACAGGACCTGGAGAATGAAATGGCCGGACTTGAGTCACCAGACGGGCCTGCAAGGGCCGACGATCCGAAGCCACCTGCCGGCCACGCTTCCGAGGATAGTGATGCTGTTGGTTTTGTGGGGTTCTCTGGGTGTTTCTCTAGCTCGATAGTAAGCTGCTTGTCAGGATGTCATTGGAATGGCGGGCCATGCCCAAACTGATGATCGGTTTGTGCGGCGAAGATTGCAGGGAAGCTTTGATTCAGCAGCAAATGACAAGGGCAGCTTCACGTCACCGGCTGCTTCATCCAAAGGGCAAGCCCTTGCTGAATCCCTCAGTCTCACAAACCCATCCGAAACCCCTGGTAGCCCCCAAAAGCCGACGAAGCGCAAGCACGGATCACCGAAGTCAACTTCCAAGGCCCGGTTCGTATTCCGTTTATCGGAATGATTAGCACTTCGTGGTTTCAGGATTTGTAGTTCTCTATCCATATCAATGAGTGTCTGCATGAGCCTTTTGTGAACGTGCACGTCTTAAGGGTATGTGTGCCTGCATGGATGGATGTCAGTTCTATTTCGATACATCATGAATCGAAATAGAACTGATGTAGGTTGAGAGCAAGAGATAGAGAGAAAGACAGAAAGAGAAGGATAAAGAGACACCCAAAAGCACATATGTACACATCTACACGTTGTGTCTTTGTCGGGCTATCTAACTATTCCATTTGGCTATGTACACACCCAAGTCAAACTGTGCTCACATCTAAAATGTGCCTGTGGTTATGTTGAACGGCAATATTCCTTTTGTCAGGAGAGAAGAGGCAGCAGCAAAAAGCCGCGAGCATGTAAGCAACCTCCCAGCCCAGCCCCGGACACAGAGGATTCAGATTCGGAGCTCAGGCGGGAACAAGAGCTTTTGGAAGAGCAGCTTGCGAAGCTGCAAGCCAAGAGGGCTGCTAAGGCCAATACCAAGCTTGAGCCAGTGATTCCTGCAACCCCGACACCCCACTCTGAGCCCCCCAACTCTGTGCGCCCCACTAGCACACAGAGGCGACGTCCGAGCCGAGCCCCAAGCCAAGCCCCATCGCAAGCAATGATTGAGGATGCTAGCCGATCCCGCAGCTTAGCCACCAGCCAAGCCCCAAGTGCCGTCAGGCCATCAAGCGAAGCCCCCAAACCATCGTGTCGCAAAAACATGCAGAGGCAGAACGCCTTTCAGGAGGAGGGTTCCCAAGCAGCTCGCCCAGTGGCTGCACCTTTGCGAGCACGTGCCCGTCCCAGGTCCCCCCCGCCGGATCATGAGCAGAATTCTGAGGAGGCTTCTGAGGAGTCAGATGATGAGGGGAGAGGAGTCAAGGTATACGAGGTCAC